ATTTTATTAATTTTAATGAACATTTACAGAGATTTTGGGTTTCCATTCATTCATTGTTGCAAGATTCTTTAATTCTAATGAAGAAGATAAATAATATGCAATTACGTATATAATGGTTAGTAGTGATGTGACTTAAACATACACAGTTGAGTAAGTGTTTAGGAGACTGAGTCACAAGTATGTCGAGACAAGCTAGGTAACAAAGGTGAGAAGATAAGGAAATATCAACAATAATTCCAGACTTTCAACTCAAATGACTGGATGATGGGAGTATTTTAATAAGAAGGAAAGTCCAAGGAAGAAGCAGGTTTAGAAGTACTAAGACTTAGACCCTTGCGAAACTTTCATATAGGGAAAAATAGGCAAATGAGTATATGGATTTTGATCTCTGAGACGTGGTCAGAACAAAAGTGAAATTTGGTATTAGTGCCAACAACTGAGCTGTATGATGCTAGACAGGTCTGAGAGGAAGGAGCGTCAACTTGGCCTGAGCATCATGAGACCTGGGTTCTAGTCCCAATTCTGTCATTAACAACTTGAGTATCTAAGCTTCAGTTTCATCATAAGTAACTCAAGGAGACTGGCCTAGATACAGAACCTGCAACCTTTTTCAGATAAAATTTACCTCCCCTCCCCCAAAAAGAATATATGACATATTATACACAATTTCACAAGGTCCTAGGACCTTTTTATGGATTTCAAATCAAGAACTCCTGTATTATATGGCCAGACAATCACAGTTTAAAGATATTCTTGATATATACTTTAAGTGTCTATTAGTTTTCCAAGAGAATATGACAAGTGCTGCTATCCCTCCAAGGAGGGGGGCTACAAAGGCCTAGATCTCTCCTGCTCTGTACCTAAACATGTCCATTATCACGAAGCCAGCCAGTGTGTTATTCAAAGGCCCAAACTTACTTAGCAAGTTTTATCTTCTTTAGGCCTTTCTTCTTGGCATATGCTATAGGAAAACTCAATTTAAATACTCTCCCCTTTCTTTGAATGTCCTTCCTCTACCTTCATGCGGGCAAGTTCTACTTATTCTTTAAAGCTTCAAATGCCTCTTAATTTCTACCTACCCTTCCAAAACCAAGCTAATTCCACCCTACTCTGAACAATCACATCACTTTATTTGTATCTGTCTTAAGGGAATTATCACATTCTCTTTTTATTGTAGTTAAATGTTCATGAGTCTTGCCTCCCCTACTAGGCAGGCAAAGCATCTAGCATGTGGAAAGCAACCTATAAATTTCAGCACTATTATCCTCTTAAAAGAGCCTTCTCATATATCCCTTATCTCATCTGGGTGAGCTCCTGATCCCAACAGCACGGCCCAGCTCAGACACTGGTCTCTTGCCTAGACAACAGGCCCACTTAACCCAGCTTTTCTGGTCCTGAGCTGCTGCTTCTCACAGCTCACTCAGCTCATCAACAGCATTAAAAACAAAAGAAATTCACTGCTACCCGTCAGTTCCAACTCATAAGTGAACCTCCATGTGCTTTCCAATGCTGGGTGTCTTTATGGGAAGAGACTGCCCATTTTTCTCTCCGGGAGTGGCTGATAAGATTCCAACAATGTTTCAGTTAGCAAGGTGGTATGTTAGCTCTATTCCACCAGGGCACTGACTAACTAGCTTGTAGACCTACTGATTCATAGCTTACCCTCCAGTGGGTTTTCAGAGGCTGAAAAATCACAAGGAAGGAGACTGCCCATCTTTCCCCCACAGAAAAGCAGGTGAATTAGAAACATCTGCCTTTGGGTTGGCAGCACAACTCCTTACTCATTATGTTACCAGAGCTCCTTACATTAATGGACACTAATTTCTACCCCATGAATTGCTGGACTGTCTCTGCATCCTACCTGTAACTACAGCTACGATTCAGGAAGAGGATAGAATAAATTCAGCTTGATCAAATTCAGCTTGATCAGTGTGCTCTCCCTGACATTTTATTACAATCTTCCTTTGGTACCCAGGTTCCCTAGGTTAACTCACCCACAAATAGTGAAACGTAAGCATCTGCTGCTACCTGAAAAGTAAATGTTCAGAGACAGTAATCTCACGGAAGATTGCCCATCTTTCTTCTGAGGAACAGTTGGCAGATTTGAACTTGGTAAGTGGCTCTGGGGGCCTAGTGGTAAGAGGCTGAGCTGCAATCCTGAAGGCATGCAGTTCGAGGCCACCAGCTGCTTCGCAGGAGGATGGGCAATCTCTCCAATGTGATTAACTGCCTCTGAAAACCTGCGGGAGGGTCAGCTATGGTTTGTTTTCCACTGGATGGTACACTACAACCACCTTTGGGAGTGCTGGTGGTTTAGTAGTAAGTAATTGCGCTGTCAACACAAAAGTGCGTGATTAAAAAGCAACAAATGCTGGCGAGGTTGTGGAGAAACTGGAACCCTGA